AGGAGAGACGGGTTTCACCATGTTGGCCAGGATGGTTTCAAACTCCTGGCCTCAAGTGATCCGCCCACCTTGGCCTCCCAAAGGGTGGGGATTACAGGCATGAGCCACTGCGCCCGGCCACATGTCAGTTTTCATATGGCCACCATCCACACGTGAAGTCTGCACCAACTGGGGACCTGGTGACGATGCTCCCAGTGTGCACGTGGGAAGCACAGCCCATTGGTAGCTGTTGTCCTCCTTCCTATGCTGGTTACCAAAAATGAGACTTACCTTGTCACAGGGCCAGGTGTCTATGGCGTCCTCCACCCCATCATTCCACAGCCGTGTTTAATGCACTCCCCAATGCAGATCTGGTGGGCTGAGCAGCTTGCAGGGGGCAGCCTGGATGAATTGCCCGAAGAACTAGAGTTGGGAGCTTGCTTTATGTTGTTGCTTTATGACTGCAAGACTCGTGAGTTCCTAAATAGAAAGCAACAGGGTCCCTTTGAACTCCAGGCAGAGTCCAACTTTTAATGGCCTTGTTTTGATCCTGCGCCGTTCAACTGTAAAATCTTGCCTGATTAGAGTCCATCAGGCAAGGCCGATACCATCTGGCCATGTTTATACCAACTCTAAGGACAAAAACATTCATTTTACTGACGAACAGTTGAAATTCACTCTCAGATTCAGATGGGCTTGTACCTATGGTGTGAAGTAGTTTTAATAGTTATCAGTGGAAAGTTAACTCTGACAGAAATATAATATTGCCTTTTAGAACTATATGTGAGACACGCTCAGCTATTCATGGAGAAGCAGCAGTAAAAGACACCAGCATGTATTAAACGCCTACTGTGTGCCAGGCAGTTATTATGTGATTTCATTGAATCTGCCAGCAACACTTTGAGTTAGAGAACCCCAGACAGGTCATAGAGTGTTTGGGGGAAGCATACAGCTTCTGAAGCAAAACTTCTTGCCTGCTTGGATTCCAGCCCTGCCAATTCCCAGCTGTGTAACCTCTTTCTCTGCCTCAGTTTCTTCCTCTGTGAAGTGAAGATAATAACACCACCTATCCAGGATTGCTGGGAAGATTAAATTACTTATTACACGAAAAGCACTTAAAATAGTGCTTAGTCCAGGCAAGCACTCAATAAACGTTAGCTGGCAATACTCTAATCATTCTTATTTTGCAGAATAAGGTTCAGAGAACTGAAGTAACTTGCCCACGATCACCCGTGTAGAAAACAGTAGCGCTGGGTCGTTCCACTGCCTCCTCAGGGGAAGGACGGAATATAGAAAACAGGCCCCCAGTGGTTCATGCCTGTAATCCCAGCACTTTGGGAGGCTGAGGCAGGTGCATCACCTGAGCTCAGGAGTTCGAGACCGGCCTGTCCAACATGGCGAAACCCCATCTCTACTAGAAATACAAAAATTAGCTGGGTGGGGGTGGTGCATGCCTGTAATCCCAGCCACTGGGGAGACTGAGGCAGGAAAATCACTTGAACCCGGGAGATGGAGGTTGCTGTGAGCCAAGATCATGCCACTGCACTCTAGCCTGGGTGAAAGAACTAGACTCTGTCTCAAAAAAAAAAAAAGAGAATGTGAGCTGCGAGTAGGGACCACATCTTGTCCATCCCTGTGTCCCTGTCACATAGCATGTCCTCGATTTACTTAATGAAATGCATGGCCTTACAGTGCTTCCCGATCCAAGGCAGAATTATGCATGTAGAGTGTTTCCCAAGACATCCCTAAGAGGTATATAACAGGCATTTAATACGTACCGGCACCTAATTATTTAACAAAACCATTTCCACCAAAAAAGTCCACATTCACTCCTGTTTCAATTATAAATTTCTTTTATTTAAGAATACTAACACAGGAAACAGATTTAATTCATGGAATTGTGCATATGGTCAACAGTTACATTGTGACATGTTAATTTTTTTTTTATCATTTATTGGCACTGTCAACAGATTACCTGTAAACAAGATCACTTTGTATGCGTAAGTCTGCGATGCTACCTAGCTATGGTTTTCTACCATGAGCTCATATATAGATATAGATAGGTATATAGATACATTAATGCTATGCACAATTTTGCATGGTTACTGAGCGTCAGTAAAAATTATAAAAAAACACCCATTTATAATAAAAGTGAGGATGTACTAAGACTTGCTATTACTGGACCTTGTTTTCTGTAAAAGTGACGCCACTTGCTGGACGGTTACTAAACTCAATGGCACTAATGTATGATGGATTCATTTCCAGACTGTCGGCCACGGAAGCCCTTCTTCATGGCCCCTGCCCTGGACAGCAGCCTGTCCTCCGGGCTCCCCATGTTTTTACCAGCTTCTGCTGAGTTTCTACAATCTTGAGCTGTGCTGAGAATTCTTTTCCTTGAAATTCTTCCAGCTAAACCCCCACCCCCCGAAAGAGGATGTCTCAGGAACTCATTATGCCCTGAGTCAACAAGAACTTGTTGATAAATGGCTTAAAAGTTTTTACAAGAAGTAACTTCCCTTGGTAAGGGGTAAATAATAAATCTGGAATTTTCCAGATAAAACAATTTCATTTCTCTGTCAGTGCCCCACGGGGAGAGAACGAAATATTGGAGCCCCTCTCCCTACCAGCGAGAGCCAATTTTCTGGTTGTGCCCTGGCTTAAAACCCTTTGGACTCCGAGAACCATACTGAATATTTGCACCCAGTGCTAAAGTTTTCAGGAGAAAGCATACTTAAGCCAATAAATGAATAATGGTTTGGTTTGCATTTTGCTTGCTTGTTAAATAAGGCCTTATTGAACCTTGGGATACTGCCTGTGGAATCTGGCTCCCCAGTGAAAGATGTGAAGTCATGAGCTGATATGCCTTTGCATATGCTGTTCCGTCTCTGCAACACCCTTCCTTGCCTTGTCTGCTTGGTAAACTCTGGCTCATTCTGCAAAACACTGCTCCAGTGACACCTTTTCCTTGAAACCTCCTCTGACCCTTGGATGAATGGTGGTGCTCCCTCCGACTTCCTCATGCTCTTACTCGCACCTCTGTCATAGCCCTTGGTGCCTGCTTGAATTGTTAGTTTATGAGTCTGGTTGTTCCCAGTGGGATGTGAGCCCCCGGGAGCAGGGACAATGTTTTGTCTCATCTTTGTATTCCTGCTGCTCGGTACAGGGCCTGGGATGGTGCAGGTGTTTCATGAAAGTTAGGTGAATGAATACATGGTGAATGAATGAATGATGCATAAATGAATATAAAAATGAGTAAAACCTTGCAGAGAGTGGGAGGCATACGTCACCACTTCGCTGGGAGTGCAGGTGACAGAACTGATTAAGAACGACAGATTAGCACTGACTGCAGGAATGCAAAATGAACAAGAACTCACAAATTTGTATATGTTAAACTTGTCATTGCCTTTCATTCCTCAACAAAAATAGGTCGATGACCAAGTCTGCGGAAGACTGGAAGCTAAAAAAAAAAAAAAACGGAAAAAACCCTACTTTGAGATCTTTGGACGATTTGTTATTAAAAGAGCGAAGTGCTGAATCAGGAACCTTGATATGCCTATTTCCAAAATAGTCAACCAAGGCACCCGGAGATGAAGAGGCTTCCTTTCGGACAGATAATACAAGCCAGGCTTTCTCAGTCTCCCCACCAAATAATACTTCATTGCTGTCAGGCTATCAAGTTCTCTTTTAGGAGCATTTGAGGTCAAATCAGTTCCCAGAGTGTCTCACCTCCAGCAGAGATACTAGAGGCTCAGCCACAGCCCCGTTAAGCATTTCGGTATCATCTGCCTGGTAATCTCCATACTCAGTCATCTCAGGAAAATCTCTAATTTCAGGAGGATCAAGTATAAGGAAACCACGTTGAACCAACAGGCCACTTTTCCATGCGTGGAGCTCTAGCGCCTTTAATTCATGGTGCTTCCCTCAAGCAGAAATCCAGTCCAGCAACGATTCCCTCTGGTGGGACAGCCAAGCTGTTCCTGGGGGTCTGCTCAGAAGCGGTGTGAAAGTGGATGAGCAAAAGACAGCAAGAGCCTCTCAGGCTGAGGGGGCCAAAAGTCAGACCCCAAGGTGCCCTAGGAAACATGATGCAATGGCTCTGCGGCCCCAGACCCTGGGGTGACGGGCCTGTGCTTCAAGCCCTGGGGCTCACGTGTGTCCTTGTGGACACTCAGGCTACAGTTTCCTCCCACCCAGGTCCAGGTCTAGGTTGACATTTAACAGGGAGGAGGGAGTTTGGGGAATGGTGGATGCCAAGTAAGAACCACGGGTAATGCCACCTGGGGATCCTCCAAGGGCAAAGCCCTGTCCAGGGCAGAATTCACAGTTTAGGGGCTCCCCAGGTGCACCGAGAGGAGTGATTCTCATCTTCAGGGGGCCACAGGACCGCTTCCCTTACCCCTGAGCTGAATCCTCTTCTCCCCACTTTACGGCCTCCCTCAGATCCGTCCAGTCCCTCCCTGCACCGTGCTTGGGGTGTGCTCAGAGCTCCAGGGGCTGGGAGAGGAGGTGAGAACGTGTTTGCTTGCATAGGGTGAGGGGGAGCCAGCATCCGTGATCACAGAATATGGCACTTGAGATGCACTGGCACCCAGGAGGCCCAGCTGCCAGTCCCAGGAGCAAATGTAATGCCCTTGACTGGTTTTTGGAAAAATTGCTGGGGTTGGTCAAGGTTGGGCAGAACTCTAGCCAGGACCTCCCATGGCCCTTCCCAAGATGAGTCCAGGGCTCAAGCAGGATCTCTGGGCTTAAACCAATGTGCACCATTGGCTCTGCAGGGAGGAAAATCAACACCAGCCCTTCCCTCCCCCACCTCCCCCAAGACCACCAAAAACGTTCCCTCCCCACAAATCACCCTTCACTGTGCATTCACCTCTGATACTTTTAAGTGAAAACATGAATTAGGCAAAACTAATCAATTTGACAACTGTTGAGATCGGGGCTTTCTCACTGTAGTGGAAATGGCTTCTTTACTTGAAGTCTGCTAAGATGTCACTGAAAATATTGAGGAACAGGTGAGCGTGGTGATCCCTGAAGACCAGCGTGGGACGGAAACGAATAGATTTGTCACCGCAGCCCCCCAACACCACACCTGAAAGAAGAGGCAGGAGGTAGGTGAGGAGCATGGTTTCTCCAAGTCGCGTGCTGGGAGAGCTGGGAGGAAAGTGATGCCCGTTGGCGATGCTCATCCATCCATCCATCCATCCATCCATCCATCCATCCATCATCATCCATCGTGGAAGCCCAGGCTTCCATTTATCCTTCCTACCACCCACCGATCCAGCCTTCATTTCCTTTCTCTCTCCCTTCATTCATCTCATCCATCATTCTCTTCTTCCTTTCCTTCCCTCCACCCTCCCTCTCTCCTTTGAGTGCCTGCTTTGCTGCCCCTGGACTAGGTCTGGTGATAGAGAGATCCCAAGATAAAGTCCTTGCCTTCTAGAAAGTCATGGAGGGGTGGGGAAAGAAAATAAGTAAGCAGATAAGTTGCAAAAGCACAGGCTGAGTCGGAAGCACATGCGGGGTGCTGAGCTATCACGGAGGAGGAACAGGCTCTGCTTATTTTAAAGGGTGACTTCACCAGTTACAGCTGGTGTCCTTTCCTTGTTGAGGTTGTGTATGCTTTTTTTTTTTTTTTTAAGAGATGGAGTCTCGCTGTGTCACCCAGGTTGGGGTGCAGTGGCACGATCTCGCTCACTGCAACCTGCACCTCCCAGGTTCAAGCAATTCTCCTGCCTCAGTCTCCCAAGTAGCTGGGATTACAGGCGCCTGCCACCATGGCCAACTAATTTTTGTATTTTTAGTAGAGATGAGGTTTTGCCATGTTGGCCAGATTGGTCTCGAACTCCTGACTTCAGCTGATCTGCCCACCTTGGCCTTCCAAAGTGCTGGGATTACAGGCGTGAGCCACTGCACCCAGCCTGTTTATGCCTTTGACACCACGTTTTCTCATTTTTAAAATGGAGGTTGATTATCCCTGCCCTTCCGAGGCTGCTGCAAGGATTCTATAAGATGGCACAGGAAGAAGACCTGACAATGTGCCTGACATAGAGTACGTGCTCTGATCTCACCACAGCATCCGCCCTTACCCCTGCCACACTGTCCTCAGTGGCTTCCCATAGCTCCTAGGGTGAAATCTCAAGTGCTAAGCTGGATCTGCAGGCCCATGTGACCCAGGCCTTGCCTCTCCTCCCCCAGCTTCGTCCCCTCCCATCCGTTCACCTTCATGCCCCCTTCTTTCCCTTTTACCACCTCTGTAAGCTCCATCCCACCTCAGGCCATGGCATGCACCCTTCCCTCTGCCCAGAATGCTCTTCCTTACCTTCACCCGGCCAATCCCTGTTCATCAAGACTCAGGGTAAAATGCTACTTCCTCAAGGAAGCCTTCCCTGATTTCCTAGCCTCACCAACTGCTGCAGCTATTTGCTCTCTTAGCCGCGTTTTCCCCTTCCCAGGACTTAAAATTGCAATGGATTGTTTGTGAAATGCCATGTGTAAAGCCACGCCTTCCTGCTAGACTGCATGCTTCCTGAAGGGAGGGGCTCTGATGGTCTTCATCATCACTGTAACTGTCTCTAGTGTCCACTTACAACTAACCACCTCAGCGAACACTTGTTGAGTAAATAAATGGATAAAGAAATCCCATTCATAATGTTCTCTGGAGAAGCAGCATTCAGGCTATTTTCAGACCTGTATACCACCTGCCCCCCACGCAGAATATTGCTGAGTACCTAGCAACATTTTGCAGCTACAGCAGGATATACTGGACGCTGATGAAACTCAGCAGCCACTCCTGGCCCCTTACCTTTGTTTCTGGCAGTTAAAATGAGCTTATTCCGTACGGAATCATCGGGAGTATCGAAGGAGCAAAAGGTGCCTCGTCCTCTCACCCTGCTGATGAACTGGGGGTACCGGGCCTGCAGTGGGGGGAGACAAGGCCAGCATCAAAGCCCATCACCCGTGTACCAGCTGGGCTTAATGGCTGTGCTTCGTCAAAGGCCTTCCATGGTCCAGCCTTGGCCTCTGCATGGACTGGCAGGACCTCCAGGGGGTTAAGAGCTCTGGTGACACTCAGGCCTGGGTTCAAAGCCCAGCTGTTCACATCTGTGTTGTGTTGAGGGAAAAAAAAACACCACCAACAACAATAATGAAGCCCAGCGTTGTCTCTTTCTCACTGCATAACCTTGGGCGACTCAAGTACCTCTGTTTCCCCTGCTGTAAACTGAAGGATTTAAATGCTGTTGATCGTGCAGTGGCACGATCTCGGCTCACTGCAACCTCCACCTCCCGGGTCCGAAGATTCTTGTGCCTCAGCCTCCTGAGTAGCTGGGATTACAGGCACCTGCCACTACCTCTGGCTGATTTTTTTTTTTTAGTAGAGACGGGGTTTCACAATGTTGGCCAGGCTGGTCTCGAACTCCTGATCTCAAGTGATCTACCTGCCTTGGCCTCCCAAAGTGCTGTGATTACAGGCGTGAGCCACTGCGCCCAGCTCAATGACTGGTATCTTTATAAAAAGAAGACAATTTGGAGACAGACACAGGCACAGTGGGGAGAAAGCCAAGTGATCCCGGAAGCAGAGTGAAGCCTCCATAGGTCAAGGATCATGAAGGATTCCTGGCAGCCATGAGAAGGTGGAGAGGGGCATGGATCAGATTCTTCCCCAGAGCCTCCAGAAGGAGCCAACTCTGCTGAAACCTTGATTTCAGACCCTGCCCTCCGAACTGTGAGAGCATAAATTCTTGTTTTAACCCACGCAGTTTGTGGTGATTTCTTATAGCAGACAAGGAGGCAAATGCAGATGCCTAGTGTGGAGGACCTTGATTTCACCTTACTCTCCACTGTCCATGTGAAGGACAGCAAACAAGGGCTTGGAAAACCCCAAATAATTTCAGGGTACTAGGGGCTGAGTTGGGGGAGCAAGTCTTATTTCACAGCAGCTCCTTAGTAGAAACTGGAGACACGGTCCTGTTCTAGGGGTGACAGGGCCAGGCACTGTGTTAGACACATACACAATTTTTTTCTTTCTTTTTGTGGAGGACGGGGTCTCACTATGTTGCCCAGGCTGGTCTTGAACTCAGTAGGGCTGAAGGCAATCCTCCTGCTTTTGCCCCCCTAAGTGCTGGGGTTACAGGCATGAACCCCTGTGCCTGGTAGTGGGCACACCCTTGAATCCCCTGCCAGTGAAGAAGGGCCCACTTTGGTCTACACAGATGAGGAAACTGAGGCTCAGAAGTCCTTCCAGCACTTATTCTAGCATGTGCCCTGCACTTGTCGATTGCTGGGGAGCCGGCAGTTTGAACACACCCCTCCCTCTCCCATCACAGTATGGCCCTGGGGAGGTTCAGAATAATGTCTCTTCCATTTAGACACCCCTTCAGGCCTGTGTGCCACACTGACACACACACACATCCACACACCTCCTTGCGGTTAGGAGTGACCACGTGACCAGCTCTTTGTCAAGTGTTGGAGGTGTTATGTGAGATTTCTGGGAAGGCTGCTAAAGACAAGAAGGGGGCCACTCTGTCCTTCCCTTCTTTTTCCTTCCTATTGCCTGGAATTGAGATGTGATGGCTGGAGCTCCAGGAGCCATTTTGGCCCATGATGAAACCTTGAGGGTGGAGAGTAATCCAGTCCCAGCAGTGGATAGCAGTGCTGATGAGTGGTAAGTATGCAACAGGTTGCACAGAGGAGGGAATAATGAACACATCAGAGGGGGTGAGAGAAGGAGTGCTTGGGGGCTTCATAAAGGGGGGATGTCTGAATTTGGTGTCAAAAGATAACCAGGGCCGGGCGCAGTAGCCCATTCTTGTAATCCCAACACTTTGGGAGGCTGAGGCGAGCAGATTACCTGAGGTCAGGAGTTTGAGACCAGCCTGGCCAACATGGTGAAACCCCATCTCTACTCAAAATACAACAAAATTAGGGCATAATGGCACATGCCTGTAATCCCAGCTACTCGGGAGGCTGAGGCCAGAGAATCTCTTGAACCCAGGAGGCGGCGGTTGCAGTGAGCTGAGATTGCTCCACTGCACTCCAGCCTGGGTGACAGAACAAGACTTGGTCTTGAAAAATAAATTAAAAAACAAATAAATTAAATAAATAAAAAAGATAACCAGTGCCGGCAGGCGCTGCCCAGCACTTTGGGAGGCTGAGGTGGGAGGATTGCTTGAGGCCAGGAGTTCAAGGCCAGACTGGCCAACATAGCTAGACCATGTCTCAATATTTAAAAAATCAAAAAAACAAAACTAGGAGTTCAGGAACGGGTTGGAATGGGATGGAGGGATGGAGAGGCATTCCCTGCAGAGGACACAGCACGTGCAAAGCCCCGGAGGCTAGGAGCAGCACAGCCCATTGTGAATTGCTGGAACAGCAGGTGCAACGCCATGCTGAAGAGCTCCAGTGTTGCCCTGGAGGCTACAGGGAGCCGTGGGTGGTGGGGGCTAGGCAGGGGAGGGGGTGGTACCTGGAGGTCCAGCAATCCCGTGAGCAGGACCTTCCCGGCATGGGCTGCGTTATTTAGCAGGTCCTCCCGCTTGATGATGTTGATGACCTCAGCCAGCAGTAGGTTCTTGGACGGGTCCCCCAGCCAGGTGTTGAAGATCCGGTAAGGCTGGAACGAGGAAGGGGTGTTGGAAGGGTTCATGCATATGCACACCCTGCAGGGGTCACTTCCCCCAGGCACCCCTCCTCCTCTCTCGAACAGGAGAGAAACTAACCTAGTGGGCGTCTGCCAGAGGCTAGCGGGAGAACACACCCAATCTCACGGAATTCTTCCAACAGCAGCCCTGCAGGTAGGAACTGCTAAGGGGAGATCAAATGGTCCCATGCCCTGGGAAATCCCTCAGTCCCAGGAAACCAAGACAGTTGGTTCCTTAACTCCTATAACCCTCATTTTATAGAGGAGGAAGCAGAGGTTCTGGGAGGCTAAGTGATTTGTCCAAGGCAAATGTGACTTATAGGTGGAGTTGGGACTGGACTGCCGGCAGTGACCCTCAAAGATCACCCACTTGGCCCCTCCATGAACGATTCAGGGTGGCCATGTAGCCAACCAAAACACCCTTCCCAGCGTCCCTTATGGCTAGAAGTGGCCACGTGACTGGGTTTTAGTCAAGTATTGGAAATAGACGTGTTATGTGAGATTTCTAGGAAGGCTGCTAAAGAAAGAAGGGGGCCACTTTGTCTTTCCCTTCCTTTACTTTCCTACTGTCTAGAATTGAGATGTGACGGCTGGAGCACCAGAAGCCATTTTGGACCATGAGGCAACCTTGAGGGTGGAAACTACATGTAGGAATGGTGAAAGGACATTGGCCCCTGATGGCTGTGTGTGTGTGTGTGTGTGTGTGTGTGTGTGTGTGTGTGTGACTCTGTATGCACACATGGCAGTACACAGTGTAGTGGGTAAGAGTATGGACTCTGGGTTGGAGTCCTGGCTTTGTCACTTAACAGGCTGTGTGACCTTTGACAAATGACTTAACCTCTCTGTGCCTGATTCCTCATTACTAAAATGAGGATAAAAATAACACCTACTTGGTTAGGTTGTTCTCAGGATTAAAAGTGTATGAGAAATACTTAGAACTAGGCACACAGCAAATGCTCAGTCTGCTGCGGCAGCTGTCAATGATATTATTGTGTGTGCACACAGAGAGAAATCAGGAGAAGGCTGATGGTGGACTGTTCCAGAGTCAGCCTTACAGAGAGAGCTGGGAGGGCACACCACTGCTAATTGCATTGATAAGAACTGGGCCTTAGAAAACCTGCGACCCAGTAGGTGCCCACCCAGCTCCTCGATGGTGAGAAAGGAACAGTTAGGAGAAGAGGATGCTCCCTTCTCTGCCTTTGATGTAGAGAGAAGGCTGAATCCAACTCACAGCATTGGGCCTGAACTCCTCCTTGTGGAAGAAGCCCCCAATCATCATCTTCTTGCTGAAGGTCATCACGTCTGCTGGGTCATCCAAGCCCCAGTGCTCATGGGCCCAGAACTTGCCTGTGCAGCCACCTCCGGTCTGGACCTCATCCACCAAGAAGGCGCAGCCATGCTGGCCGGAGAAGAGAGAGGAGGGAGAAATAAACACCCGTGGGAGGCCAGAAACTCATGCCCTCTATAGCCAACCACCTGCCAAACCCTGGGTCCACACATGTCGTGCTTGTTTTCTGAACAGCAAACCAGCCCCATGGTCTTGCGCTGTGCACAGAAAAACTAATCGAAACACTTAAGCTGAGCAGTTCCAACAAGAGCTGTATCTGAGTGTTTCCTAAAACTGCTAAGCTGGACCAAAAAAAAAAAAAATCCAGAACATTAAATACTCCCTGCACCAACACAGAGCGGTATGCCATCTGGCTTCGGTCTCGGGTCTCAACCTCGTCAGAGGGAGCTGTGTCCAACAGGGAGGCCTTGACTGTGCTTCTCAGAATTCAGCTGCCGTGCTCTGCTTGTCACCAGGGCTATTTCTAACTCGGCATTTGTGTTAAGTCAACTCATGTCTTACAACTTTTATCTGTGAACTTATCGGTTTGATTGCCAGTTACATATGCACAAGACATTAAAACAAACACAAAACGTAAAGAAAGGAAATCAGTGTATCAAAGAGATACCTGCACCCCCATGTTTACTGCAGCACTGTTCACAATAGCCAAGATACAGAATCA